CTGCACAAGGGGAGACAGTTCAGGACATAGAGGTCTATGCCATCGTTGCTGCTTGTCATCTGCCCATAGCGGGTTACATTGCAACCAAGCAGAGTCTCATAAAGCCCAAACTGACAGCATCCTAGACAGACACAGCTGGCCCCAGGGTCAAATTGGAGATCTGAATTTTCTTATCTATAAAGTGAAAATAAGAACACGTGCCCTGCATCTGCCACAGTGCGGCCGTGAGTGTCCCCATAAGCCATTACTAGGCTGTGCTCATTTTTGCTGCAAAGAGGCAGGCCCAGGAATGTAATTCGCTTTTAGAGGACACTCAAGTCACAGCAGGAAAAATGATCTGTGAGCTATGTGTATACAGCCAGAGCTCCTTGCACCTCCTGGTGATTGTTCTGAAAGCTACAAATCTCTCCTGTGTAAAATGACGTCCCAGGGTTACTTCAAGTGACCCAGGACACTACATAGCAGCACGTGTAAGTTTATAGCCTAGAATGATGGGGTGGAAGGGGGACAGAAGGAAACTAGTGTCTCAGAAAATGTGGTTCAGGAATAAAATTCAGGTACAAATATGAACCTCATAAAGGCATTCATTTAATCAATGACCCAGCAAGCCCAGCCCTGGGAAAATAAAGGTGGCTGGTGAATTACCTGTTGACAAGTAGTTCGGTTGGATCACCGGGTGGTCCTGGGGGTTGGCACTCCTCAGTTTGAGCCAGCCCACACTCGTGCCCCGCATGGTCCCCGCATGCACCTAAAAGAACCCAGAGGAAACGGTGACCATCGCCAATCCCCAAACTCGTTAGTACAGAGAGGTCTTCCTGTGAGTGAGACTACATCTGAAGTCAATTAAGAGCAGATACATTTTAGCATTTGCCAGCATCTTACCTACCCTACCACAAGTGATCAAAAACCACCTTGATGAATCACTCCTGGCTTTATACCTAATTGTCCAAAACTTTCAGGGGCTGGCAAATCCCTTGGCAGAGTCAGCCTCACCGATCCATTTCTAGTGCTCAGGACCTAGAGCATCTACTCTGATCTGGGTGTCGGTCTCACCTTTCCATGCATCACACTGACTGCCTCTCTCCACTCAGACACAGTGAGCGGCTGGAGAGCACAGGCTGCTGGACCCTCTACCACCATGAAGGCCCTGCAGTGGGGAAGATGAGACTATGTGCTCACCTGGTAAGCCTCCTGCTGGGTAGGGACCCGCCCATGGTCGATCACTTGGGACGGCAGGAAGTGGAACTGGATGTCCGGGTGGGGGACCCCAGGCTGGCTCCGGATGAACCCCCCTGTTTCCAGATGGGCTGTGGCTCCATCCCCTGAGAATCCAAAGAGTAGTATAGTAAATCAGGGTGTGGCAGGAAGGCCAGCTTCTTCTCTCCTGGTGCCTGGACTCCATTCTACCCTCTTTCCCCAAGGTGGGCTCATCCAGCACCATGGCTTTCGATTTCAGCTACGTGCCAAGGTTCTTCAGCTTGGCCTCTCCCTTGACTCCATCACTGCAGACTCAACTGGGCGGCCTAACGTCCCACGGGCATCCCTAACCTGGCCCATCCTGTATGCCTGGTGAGCTTTCACGCAAGGCAAAAGGCAGAAGCTTGAGCTGTCCCTGCTTCCTCCTGACCTCATCACCCACTAGCCCTTCAGAAAGTCTCACTGACTTTAGTTCCAAAATCTACTTGAAGCCATCTACTTGGCATTGCCACCCATGCCCCTGCCTCAGTCGAAGCCCAGATCACCTCTTAACTGGTGGTTCCAGAGGCCTCCTTGCTGGGGCCCTGGCCTACCTCAGTGGACCCCTGCAGCCAGCCCTCATGATCAAGCCCTCTCCCCTCCAACCTCAATGTGCTACGGTCTCCCTGGCCCAACTAATTAGTTGCCTAGTCCTAGGGCCTTTGCACATATTCATCCTGCCTTTCAGGTCCCCTGCCTAGTTTAATTAACATCCTGATCTTTCTTTCACTGTACTTAAAATTTAGCCTATGTACTTGGTTCTTTCCATTGTCTCCACTACAGTGTAAACTGCCCAAGGATACCTGCCTTACTGACACTTCTCTCCCTCTACCCCACAGCACAGAGTAGATATGCAAGAAATGTATGCTGAGCCAATAAGTAGGATTTCAAAGCACCATTTCCTGGCCAAACTTGGTGCTCTGAGACTCAGCTAGAAAGCAAATGGAAAATGCTAAGAAATAGATGCTGATTCTGTAGTCCAGGACCAACTACCTTTTCTCTTGGCTCCTTAGACCCCCTGAAGGTATCTAGCACAAGGCCATCTCCACCCATCTGTAAGGAATAGCCCTTGAGGAGTCTCGGCCTGTGCTATTGAGTCTGGTCCTCATACCAGCCCATCAGGCAGGAACTGTATAACCCCCATTTTGCCGATAAGAACACCGAGGCTCAAAGAGCTGAGGAAAATGGCATAGCTCAGCCTCAAACCAGCAACCTGGGGCAGAACCCCTGCTTGTTACCTCAAGAAGGAAACCATCTCTACCAAGGTCATGGGTGATCATACCTACCTGTGAACTTCCAGAGCCACTCCAGACCAGTCAGGACCTTCCTCAAGGGCTTCTGTGCTGAGTGGAGGGTGATGGGGCGGGTGCATGCCTGCTGGATATATATCTCCAGGTGGTCTTGCAGGTTTTGGCCAACTCCTGAAATGGGAGGGAGTAGTTAGGAAAAAGACTACCAAGAGGGGTTTAGCTGGCCTCTCAACGTCTCCCTGGTTTTGAAAAATTCTCCCCTCCCCAGGAGCACTGAATTGGCATCTTTAACATCAGAGCAACTGGTGAGTCCTGAGGATGGAAAACACAAGGGCTTGAACCCCTCCAGCCATAGAACTTGCCTTGGTGACCTGCCCAAGCCTGGCCCAGCAGGCTTTATGGACAGATCCTTCCTGCTAGAAGAGGCTTACCTCTCAGTAGGATAGGAAGGCCAGAGAAGAGAGGGAAACAAGAAGACTTGGGGTCTTCAGGATCCCTGTGGAGGGGCGGGTAGGATTATGATGCATGGGGGACCTTCGGGTTTATGGGATGAATGTGACAGTTTTGGGGAGCACCAAGTCCTGTACCCTCCCACACTCCGTGCTAATAAAATACAATAAACCGTTTTATTTAGCAGAGACACCGTCTGGGAGCAGTGGCGAAGGGAGCTCACCTGGAAGGTGGCACACCACCGGGATGCCTAGTTTCTTGAGGTCATCTGCATTGCCGACACCCGAGAGCATGAGCAGCTGCGGAGAGTTGATGGCGCCTGCACTCAGAATCACCTCCTTGCTGGCATAAGCCTAGAAGAGGCAGAGGGTCATGCAGGTCACATTTCCCTTCTCCAAAAGCCAGACAGAACCCTGAGGACATTGCCTTGGTGTGACTTTCCCAAGTGAGGATCCTGCTCACAGGCCCAAGAGTGAAGAATAGTATGCTTAGGGTGCTGATATGTGAAAGCATCCCACATAGGCAGCTATGGTGTACAATCATAAATAAAGCATGGGTCATACTCTGATATATTCTGCAATGGCCGATAGTAACGATGGTCTTAAAAACAGGATCGTAGAGCTTAAATGAGATGAATTAAAGCAGGCACCCAAATGAGCGGTTTTAATAAAGCAAGACGTGCCAGATCTTCCCGTGGGATGCAGAACAATCCTGACACACTGCTAAGTGGAAAACAGATAAGAGCATGACTACTGCCCACTCCCTGCCATCTGAACCGCCTGGTGGTAACTGACTTACCCTGTAGTTCTGGCCATTCTTGATATACTCCACGCCCACTGCGCGGGTGCCTTCAAACAGCACCCTTTTCACAAATGTCTGGGCCTCGGCTGTGAGGTTGGGACGACTCAGTGCCGGGTGCAGGTACGCGCAGGCCGCACTCCAGCGCTTGCCTGCAGGACAGAGCAAGATCAGACACAGCCCCTACTTTCCCCTGGCACTTGCACAGGGAGAAGTGGGAAGGGGCTGGAGAAGGAAGGAATCTGTCCTGCCCCTGACCACGTAAGCCCTGCCTTCAAAGTAAGGCTGAGACCGGAAGACCCAACTGAAATCCATCTCAACTTTAGGTCTTATGGATGTTCTGTGCCTCAATTTCCCCATCTGTAAGTCTTTAGCGGACTTTGGGCTGCTGGGCCAGAAAGCTGACTTTCCATTATCCAAAGCCAGAGGCCCAGAGAATGCCCAGGTATCCCCAGTCCCAAGTCATTTCTCATTGCCTAGGGGTTGTATTCTGTGGCCCAGAGGGGGCGCAATATGTCACATCCCCTGTACTTCATACCAGCCCGTTTGTCCACACTTACTGACCATGACAGGAGTACGAGGGATGGGGCTGATTTTTTTTCTTAAAGGAGGAACCAGGGATATGGGGATGGGAGTCTCACGCTACCTTCGTGGATGGTCATGTCCATCCAGCCGAAGCCTTCCTGCTGGAAGCCGTTCATGTCCTCAGTGAGGGGATAGCCGGCCTGCTGTGCAGCCTCCAAGAACGCTCGGTGCAGCTGGTGGTTGGTCCTGCCCCGCGACACGTACAGTGGGCCTTCGCCGCCTCGGTACCTGTTGGCGCCCAGCTCGTGGCACTGTGCCTTGCGGAAGTAGGGCAGGCAGTGTGCATAGTCCCACCCTGTGGCGCCTTCCCGGTGCCAGCGGTTGTAGTCTTCAGCATGCCCGCGGACGTAGACCATGGCATTGAGGGATGAGGAGCCTCCCCACACCCGGCCGCGCGGCCAGTACAGCACACGGCCGTCCAGGCCTGCCTGCGGTTCTGTGTGGTAGTACCAGTTGTACCTGCTGTTGCACAGGTTGGCCACGAGGGCTGCGGGCATGTGGATCATCCACGAGAGCCGCTTGCTTCCTGCAAACATGTCCTTGGGCCCGGCCTCCAACAGCAACACACGTTTATCAGTGTCCTCTGTGAGCCGCCGGGCCAGCACACAGCCCGCGGAGCCTGCACCCACTACCACATGACTGTATTCGTCCCCACTCCTGAAGGCCTTATTGGCTACAGCACGGATGCCTGGGGGCCCCCGCTGACCCCTCAGGGCTCCACATGGGCTCAGGTGCCCTCGCCTCCAGCCCCGCAGGATGCACCACATGCTTCTAGGCCAAGTCCTCATATCCATGGAAGGGAATGTGATGATTTACTTTTCCTAAAACAGAAAAGAGGCCTTAAATTTTTAAAACTCAGCATGCACATGCAGAATCATCCCAAAGCTGGGGCAGCCACACTGGTGCAGCAAAGGTCTCCTGCAGGCTCACCAAGTGGCCGGCCCAGGGCTGGGTGGGGCAGGCCTGCCTGGTATGTCCCTGCCCTGAGTACCTAGGAGGAGGGAGCAGAAGTACAAGCAGTTATATTAATACTGCAAGATCTGTGCTAGGACTGACAAGCGCAGGGCAGGGAGCACAGAGGAGAGGCCCCTCCTCAGATCTGGGGAGTCCCAAGAAAGGCTTCTCTGCAATATCTGTGCATGAACTTGGAGGCTAGGCAGGCGTCCATCTGCTGGAAATTAGGGGAGGTAAGGGCTTTTCAGGCTTGCACTCATTCCTCATCCATTGAAGATAGTTGCTGAGTCTCTACCATGCGCCAGGCATCATTTCATCTCTAGCAATACACAGAGAACAAGACATCTGCCTTCAAAACTGATGGTCTGGGGCTGAAAGAAGGACTTAAATAACTGATGAAAAGTCCTGGTGAGAGGCTGGAGACTGTAGAGCTCAAAGCCTTTGATTTTAGGGTCATGGTATGCACTAGAGGATTTCTCAGCAGGGTATGGGGTCAGAGCTACAGTCCACAGCTATAACTCTGTGGAGTGCTAAAGTTTTACCAAAGAAATGCCAGTAGCTTTTGGAGGGTTCTTTTGCAACAAAGTTCAAATCAATCCCACATGCTCAGTGCACCGAGGTGGAAAATAATTTCCCATCATTACCTGCACTGATCAAGGACGTTTGAAAAAGCCCCACCCATGAGGCTAAGGCACACAAGGCTTACCCAAGACTGAGGCTGTAACAAAAGGAGAGAGAAATCTCAAGAAATCCCCCTGCCCCTTCCATGAGCCTGCACCAAGTAACAGCAGCAGCCTACCACTGGAGGCAGGCTAAGAGGTAAGACTGCAAAGATTCCAATCCCCACAACCCCCAAATCTCATTCATGCAGGCACAGGAGAAAGAGGCAGCAGGGCCTCCTGAAAGCTAAGTCTGAAGCAAGAACACTGATAAGGCCTCATACTAGTCCATGGTGGCAGCAGCCCACTGCTCAACTCATCACTAGGTTGATTCAACACTTCATACTAATGACCTGATAGAATAAAAGGCATGCCCATTTCCAGGCATAGATACTATCTACCTCAGTTTCTATTATTTTGTTATACACAAGATCCAGCATGAAATTAAAAAATTGAGATACAAAAAAGGAACAAGAAATGACTCATTATCAAAAGAGAACATTGTCAACAGAAGACAACTAAGGGATGGCCCATCCAGATGTCAGAACTATCAAAGACTATTTAAACATTTTAAAAGATTTAGTTGAAAAAGTAGACAACATGTTGAACAGATAAGCTATTTCAGTAAAAAGTTGGAAACTATAAAGGGAAAAACAGAAATGCTAAAAATAAAAACATTAACGATGAATAATTTGACTGGATATAGCAGAGAAAATAAGTAAAAATGGAAATCAGGTAAATAGAAATTATGAAAATGGAAATATGAAGAAAGAGTGAAAGAGAACTGAGAGCTATGGGATGATATCCAACTATCTAAAGTATACATAATTGGAGCCCCAGGGAGGAAGAGAGGAAGAAAGAGGAAAAGGGAGAAGGGGAGAGAGAAGGGGCAGAGGGAAGAGGTGGAGAGGGGGACAGAAGGAGAGAGAACAAGAGAGAAAAGATGTTTGAAGAGAATTGCTGAGACTTTTCCAAAATTAATGCGAGATAAAACATCACAGATTCAAGAAGCATAGAGCATCGCAGGCAATAATACAAAGAAAAACATATAGGCCCATAATACTCAAATTGCTGAAATCTCATAAGGAAAACATCAAGGCAACCAGCCAAAAAAAGAAACATTATGTACAGAGGACTAAATATAAGTGTGACAGCAAACGTCTCATCAGAAAACATTCAGTCTTGAAGATAATGGAGTGACAACTTTAAAATACCGAAAGGGGGAAAAAACAGTAAACTTAGAACTCTCTGTACCCAAATATAAAGAAGAAATAAAGACATTTTCAGAGAAACAAAAACAGAGTATTGCCAGTGGATCTGCACTGCAAGATATGTTAAATGTTAAGTTATTCGGGCAAAAGGAGTATAATACCAGATAGAAATTTCAATCTATACAAATAAATGACTAGCGGTGGAAATAGTAAAAATTATGGGTATATTAGTTTCTTATGGCTGTCGTAACAAATTACCATAAACTCGGTGTGTTAAAAAACATGTATTTATTCTCTTATAGTTCTAGAGGCCAGGAGTCTGAAATCGGCTTCTCAGGGCTAAAGTCAAGGTGACTGCAGGGCTGGTTCCTTCTAGAAGCTCCTTAGAGAAGAATCCATTTTCTTGCCTTTTCTGGATTCTAGGGGCCATCTGCATTACTTAGCTATTAACCCTTTCCTTATATCGCTTTAACTTCTTGCTTATTCTTGTCCTCACATCTCCTACTTCTGAAGTAGCATCTCCCTCTTATTGGGACACTTGTGATTCCATCATTGGGACCATCTGGATAATCCAGGATAATCTCTCCATCTCAAGATTCTTAATCTTATCTGCAAAGTCCCTTTTGCCACATAAGGTAACACATTCACAGATGTGAGGGTTAGGCCATGGGTATCATGGGGTGGGGGGGATTGGTAATCCTACCATATGATACATTTTTAGGTAAATATGATATACTTTCCTCTTATTTTTAATCTCTTTAGAAGACAACTGACTGTCTACAGCAAATGTAGTCAAATATACTATAGGGGTCACAATATATGTAGCATTAGAATGTACATAATCATAGCACAAAGGATGGGAGGGAGAGAAATAGTATACTTTTATAAGGGTTTTATATCATACATGAAGTGGTATAATAAGTTAAAGATATATATTGTAAACCCTAGCACAAGTATTAAAAAATTTAAATAAAACAAAAAATTATAGCTAATAAATCAATAGTGGAGAAAAAATAAAATATAAAAGAGGTAGAAGAATTAAAAAGAAATGGGACAAATAAAGAGCAAATAATAAAATAATAGATTTAAATCCAACCATATCAATAACTACATTAACTGTAAGTAGTCTAAATACTTCAATTAAAATGCAGAGATTGTCAGATGGAATAAAATAGCAAGGTTCAAATATATGCTGTGTACAAAACAAAAATAAAACACCCATTTTAAAAATAAAGACATAGATAATAAGAAAATTGAAAAAAGATACACCAAATAAGCACTAAACATATAAAAGAGTGACAATATTAACTCTAGACTTCAATACAAGAATATTACCAAGGTTTAGAAGATATTTCAAAATGATAGTCGATTTGTCTTAAGACAAAACAATTCTAAATGTGTATGTACCTAATAAAACTCCAAAATCATGAAGCAAAAACCAGAACTGAAAGAAGAATGAATACATAATTACAATCGGAGACTTTAACACTTCCCTCTCAGTAATAGATAAAACACCTAGACAACATATCAATAAGAATACAGAAGACTTCAACAACATTATGAACTAAACTGACACATTACTGAACATGCAGACAAAAGAATACATGTTCTTTGCAAATGCACATCATCAAGATAGACCTTATTCTGGGCCATAATAAAAAGCTCAACAGAGGGAGGAAAAAATGGCGTAGATGATAGAGGCTCTGTTCATCCCTCTAGTGACCTAATCAAAGTTGTGACAGAAACAAGGAGCAGCAGCAAGGAAAAATTGCCTGGGATCTAGAGAAACAAACCATACAACTAAGGAGAAATCTGAGCAATCACCCTGCAACAGCAGAAGGTAGGACAGGGCAAGGACGCAGGACTGCCCGGTCCCCAGCGTCTGAGTGAGAAGGAGGCTGCGGAAGCAGCAGAAGCCTCTTAAAGGGACCGCGTCCCCGAGCAGATTTTCCCGGTGACGGACCCGCTTACTCTGAGCACCTGTGCCAATTCGTCTGCATTGGCACAGGTGCTCAGGGGGCACAAGGGACTTACAGGGAGACATTGTCAGAGCAAGGGCCAAGGCGAGACTTGTTCTGTACAGAAGTGCCGGCGGTATCCATTGTTCCCTGTTGAGCCCTACCCCACCCAGTGCGTGGACACAGCGCCGCCATAGCTGAGACGTCATCAAACCAGATAACAGAGGTTGCTCCGCCCAACTCGCAGCCCCACCCAAGCCACATCCAGGTGTATCCTCAGCGAGTCAGGTGTTCCTTGCTGAGCAGCGCCTAGACTCACACTGGAGACAGCTGGCCTCGGTTTCTGGTATGGCCTTTTGAGGCAACTATAAGCACAGCATCTGTGGATTGCTTGCTGAATCATAACCGGTGGCCCTCGAGGGGTAGATGCTTGAGCTAAGTTTGGCCTGCAGCTGAACCCCTCTCAGGACTGTGCCACTGGACACCTACTTCACAAATCCACACTAATAAGACCAGGAGACTTAGGAGCTTTGCTGAGTACACAGAAACAGACACAGAAAGGCAGCCACAATGCGAAGACAAAGAAGCAGAAACCATATGAAAGAACAGAACAGAGATCCAGATATAATGAAGTCAAGTAATCTAACAGATGTAGGGTTCAAAACACTGGTTATAAAGATGCTCAATGAACTTTTGGGAAGTGTAGATAAATTCGGCGAGAACTTCAAAAAAACAAATATGGAAATGGAAATTATAAAAAAGAACCAGTCTGAAATGAAGAACACATTATCTGAGATGAGAAGTATATTAAATGAAATAAACAAAAGAATAAACGAAGTGAATAAAGAAAAGGATCAAATGCCCTATCTAGAGGATGGCAAAGCCAAGTACACACAATCAGAACGGCAAGAGATGAGATGCTAAGACTATAAAAATAATTTAAGGAGCATATGGGACACTATTAAGGGTCCAAATATCTGTCTGATTGGTGTAACTGAAGAAAATCAAGATGTTGAACAGCTGTTTGAAGAAAAAATGA